AGAGAGAGAGAGAGAGAGAGAGAGAGAGAGAGAGAGAGAGAGACAAGGGATATAGGCACAAAAAGAGAGGTGCGGGAGGGGGGAGAATAGATAAACAGGCAGGGAGAGAGAGAGAGAGAGAGAGAGAAGAGATGGAGAACAAGAAGACGGCAGGCAACAACGCGGCCGAGCAGAGATTCCTCGTCGGTGGGCACGGAAGGGATCGGATCACACGCAGAGTGTGCCACATACCATAAGGCAACACCAACGGATATCCATCATGTCATACACATCAACCAAGAAGTGCGGGGGGGGGGGCACCGCAATCACGGCCGCACGGAAGCAACCGAGCGAAGCGGAGCGAAAGGCACGAGCGAAAGGCAGACAAGGGCGGAGAGAAAACAACGCTACAAGCTGCGGTTACACGACGGTTGTCGGGCAACAAAAACATACCGAGCCAGCCATCGAGGCAACGCGGAAAACACGAGCAAGATCCAAGGCGGGGCGTGGTGGGCGAGCAGCAGCAGAGAACAGCCGACAGAATGGTCGGCGGGCGACAAGACAAGACAGACAGATAAGCTGCGGGTGACACAATACACCACACCCCCCTTGGACCGACTTTCAAAGCTCGATTTTTCCACACCAGAAAAAGAGCGGTGGTGTCGAAAATGGCGGCGGCGGAGCCGTCTCGACGAGAGCTTCCCGTAAACGCATCGTTTCGTTGACGGATCATATCCATATATCGTGGAGTCATCGAGCTCCGGAAATAGGTCCGGGGTGTGTGGTATCTCGTGTCACCTACGGCAGTAGGCACGCGGTTTGTCCCGTACCGCACCTTCGAGCAGCCAGGGGAGACCCTGGCCAGGGCGTACGAAAACGCCACCGCCAACACCGCGAACGCGTACTTGGCCAGCTCGTCGAACTCGCAGAAGCACTCCCATGCCTGCTTTTTATTTTATTTTCGTTTTGTTTCCGCAACACAGCAGTGGTGACAAAGCACGGCGGAGGGAAAGGGGGGCAACAGGGGGAGGATTGGTGAACGTCCCTGAAGGCAAGCCAATGTAGCAGCAGCGGGCTAAACGGCAGAGAAACAATACAGTTGCGGATGCACACGTCATTTATCCCAGGGCAGTCAGCTACAAGCTAGTTATTTCGTGCACATGGGCAGGATGATGATGGCAGTGGCACTTCACTGCACGTGCAGGTGCCACGGTGTGCCCGCGCCTCACGGAAGGTCTAGCTGGCAACACGTCCAACTGGTCGGGAAGGCAATCTTGCTTCCACAGGCGACAAATTCGCGCTCAACACACAACCAACAAAGATATTGCCGCCACGACCACCGCCGCCGCCGCCGCCGCCGCCACCGTCAGCAACTAGGACCGCACCTTTCCGACGTTCTCCTCCTGGTACAGGAAGTACGCGGCGCCCACCGCCGCGAGCGTTAGGTAGATCGGCAGCACCTGGCCGGAGGCCGTGGCGGCGCCGAAGTAGAGGGTCACGCCCCACTGCACGGCCATCATCGCGCCCACGACCAGGATCACCGGCCATGCCTGGTCCAGAATGTCGCTGGCCTGGTCTGCGAAAGGCTCGTCCGTTGCGCNAATGGAGGTATGCTATACCTCAAACTAGGCGTCTTTTGCTAAGTAAGGGGGTGGTACGAAAAGTCAGCATCGCCGAGACGACTGGCAACCGTTTGTTGATGTCGAACACATTTACAATACATAAAATGAGATTTACAGCAGTCGGGGACGTGATGAAAACAACTACAGCACACCACTTTGTACGTGGCCAACTAATATACTGCATAGCCGGCAGCGGAAGGAGGAGGAAGGTCCAAGTAGACATATAATTATCTCATGCTTGTGAAACAAAAAAAACGAGCGTATTCCAGCGTCGCACCGAGGAACACCAGTACATATCATTGTCCCGGCGGAGACCAAAAGCTACCTGGATTACTTTTCCTTCCACATATATATGGCGTAGTGTTCCCTGAACCTCACCCCGCGGCTTGGCTCTACGGCTCTGTTGAGTTTCATGAGTAAACGAATGAACGGTCTTCGAAAGAAGGTACTGCGTCTC